GAGCCACTATTTCATGTTCAGACAGAGCGGCCGCGCCGGCTTCGCCTCCGCCAGATTAACTCGGCGAAATTAATTGGGACAAGATTGAAAAGGAAATTAAAATGCAGCTGAGTGAACAGGCTTTTCGAACACCTTTCCCCCTCTCCCCACCCTCGCCACCACTTCTCCCATCGCTGCCTCTCTGGCTTGTTTTTCCTCCCACCCCACCCTGGAGCCGCCTCCCGGAGCCGCATCCCGAGTAATTTACGGGGGAAAAGCTCCCAGGACCCATCGGTTCCGTGTGAGGGAGCCGGCACAAGGGTTGCAATCTGGAGCCACTGAAGAGAGCGAGAACCCTGCCGTGACTCCAAGCTGTGTCCCCGAGCTGGCACGGGGTGGGACACGCACACAGACACGCACAGACAGACAGACACACACAGAGACACACAGACAGACAGACACAGACACACAGACACACACAGATACACACAGACACACACAGACAGACAGAGACACAGACAGAGACACAGACAGACACACAGACACACACACAGAGACACACAGACACACACAGACAGACAGACAGGCACATACACACACACAGACACACACACATGGACACACAGAGACACACACACAGAGACACACAGACACACAGACACACAGACACACACAGACAGACAGACACAGACACAGACACACACACAGACACAGAGACACAGAGACACAGAGACACACAGACACACAGACACACACAGACAGACACAGACACAGACACACACACACACACAGACACACACAGACAGACACACACAGGCACACACAGACACACACACAGACAGACAGACAGACAGACACACAGACACAGTCACCCTGGGGATGGACGCGGGTGTCACCCCATGGATAAACCAGGAGATGGGCTGGGGGTGTGGGTTCAGTGGGGTGAGGGTTCAGTGCCCAGGGGGGTGGGTTCAGTGCCCAGGGGGGACAGCAAGTCACTAAACGCTGCCCTAAAAGCTCCCTGGGATCCCCAGATGGGGGATTCTCAGCCTGCCAGGAAGGGCTGCTGAAGCCCAGGCTCCGAGAGGCTTCCAGGGACACAGCTGCCTCCTGGCAGGGAGGTGGCAGAGCCGGCCCCAAACGCTCCTCGGAGCTAGAAATGTCTGTCCAGGGTGGTTGGGAAGCTCCAAGGGGGTGGAGGGGCAGTGGGGGGGCAGCTTGTGGGGTGCAAAGGGCATCAAAACACCAAATAAACACAGCCCCCCGAGTTCATTGCTCCTCCTGTGATGGATCAGGGCGCAAAAGGCACTGGGAAACACCTGTAAAATGTGACCCTAAAGTTCACTGCTCTTCCCATGTCACACTGGGGTTCAAACATGCTGCAAAACACCACAAGCAAAGCACAGCCCCCCCAAATTCATCCCTGTTCCTGCCTCATGTCAGGTTGTAAAGCTTGTGGAAAAACATCACCCATAAAACACGAACTCCCAAGCTCATCCCTGCTCCTGTGCCAGAATGGGGTGCCAAGGACATTGTAAAACACCTGTAAAACGTGACCCTAAAGTTCACTGCTCTTCCCATGCCACACTGGGGTTCAAACATGTTGCAAAACCCCACGAGCAAGGCACAGTCCCCTCAAACCCACCCCTGTCCCTGTGCCAGGTCAGGGCGTGAAGGGCATCGCAAAACATCCCCCATAAAACACAACCCCCGAGTTCACCCCTGCCAGGTCAGGGCCAGCACAGACCAGCAGGGACCAGCTGGGGACTGGGACAGAGCCCTGCAGGGACACACGGGGCAGCAGAGGGGTCACAGGCCCCTCTTGCCCCCCCCAAACCCGTTAATACAACCCCTTAATTTATTCAGCCCGAAGGGAGCCCCGGTCACACCCGGCTGAGCAACTCAATTACCCCTGGAATACCTGAGCAACAGCACGGCCTGACTCCATTCCTGGGTGAAAAAAACAGCTAAAAATAAAATAATCTGGCTCTGGGGCATTCGAAATGTCTCGTGGGGTGGGGTGTGGGGTGCAGGGAGGAGGGAGGGGGATGCCGGGATCCGGTTCCTTCCTCCCCCCGTTAATTTAACTGCCTCAAACCTCAGTTTTGATCGATTTTGTCATGTTTTGACCTTGAAGTTGAGCCCCAGCCCCGAGGTGATGGGGTGTCCTACCTTGCTGAGGATGTAGATGAGGTCCCCCCGGTGGAAGGAGAGCTCGTCGGGGTGGTCCCCCCTGCAATCCCAAAGGCCCTGGTAATAATTGGAGTAATCTCGTTTGGGATCTCCTGGGGGTAAAAAAAAAAACAAAACCAGGGGGTCAAGGGGACAGGGAATGACATTTGGGGCTGTGGGGTGTCGGGGGAGAAGGGGTGGTGTTTGTTTAGGAAAGGAAGGAAGATTAATCTGGCATTTTAATTAAAAGGTGGAAGACAAAGAGGTATCGCACGAGAGAAAGGGGCTGATCAATAAATAAACGCAACATTTCTCAATAAACAGATTGATAAATGTTTCAAAGACCCTAAATCAAACCACGACAGGAAGCAAAGATGCTCTCCACCCCTGTTCCCAGGAGAGGAGGTCCCAAACCTTGGGAATGATACACCCTGATGGCTCAGGTGTCCCTCTTCCCATCGGGCTGGGAGTTTAGGTAGAAGGCCTGTGGAAAGGGAAGGGAATGGGATCCAGTAACTTTATTTTCCCAGCAAATGTGTGCTGAAAGCCAAAGGGTTTGGGCTGATGGGGCTGTGGGAAGCGGTGCCAAGGCTGGGGGGATTAAATCTGGAGTTTCTGGAAAACTCCGCGGCGGCGTTTCCAGAACGAAACATCTCCACCTTTGCCATCTCAGAAGGGCACTTCCCGCCCCAAAAATGAAACATCTCCATCTCTGCCATCTCAGAAGGGCACTTCCCACCCCAAAAACCGGCTCAGGCACCAGAGGCACCATGGAAGGGGTGGGGCAGGAATCATCCCACCCTGGGATGGACCCAGAGGAGCCCGTGCTGAGCTCTGCAGGAGATGGGGACTTATCCCAGCACAAAACCAACCCCAAACCCCCTCAGGTTCCCAGTTTTCAAGGCCACAACCGTTAAAAGATGCTCCTGGAGCAAAGGCTCCAGGCAGGAGAGTGCCCTGATGGCACAGCACCGAGGCTGGGGGCGAATGCAGATGTCACGACACGGACACATCCGTGATGTGACCCCCATGGATAATTAGAGCCAGTAAAACCAGGGTTTTAGGGAGGGGGGATTTGAGCACGGGGGCTGTTCCAGCGGGTTGTGCTGCTCTGAACCAAGCCCAGAAAGCATAAATAGAAAATATTGAGCACATGTTGGAGGGAAATGTTGCTAATGTGGTCTCGGGGACGGAGCGATAAGGGTGCAGCTGGAATGCTGTGCCCAGATTGGATCACCTAAATATGAAAAAGGACATTACAGAGATGGGTAATGGCACGGCAGGGAGCAGCTGGAATGACTCAGGGACTTGGGGAACTTAAATAGAAAGGCTGGGCAGGAAAAAAAAAGTAGGTCTGCATCCTTTGGAAAGTATTAAAGGGGGAGAACGCAGTGGCGAGGAAAAGATTGGGAAGGGAATAGAAGGAGTAGGAGCTACTGAGTTATTTAAGCTGGTGGTGAGGGCAGGAATCAGGGGTTATGAGCTGGAAGCAGAGGAAATATCGGGGAGCTGAGCAGGAGGATGAGGCCAGTGCAGCTCTGGGAAGAGCCAGAAAATTGTGTAATTAACACAAAAGGTCGTTAAGGGAGGGTGTGAGGACAATGTCACGCAGCAGAGAATAATCCGGGAGTGGGGGATGGCCTTGGCATCCCCCTGTGAGACAGGGATGGGGAAAGGCTTGAAATATAGCAGGAATATCCAAGTGTTCTGTGGAACATCATAATTGACTTGCTGGCAAAGAGATTTAAACACAGTGGTAGAAAACACACAGTGAAACAGAAAACAGAAAACAGAAAATAGAAAATCCATCTTCCTCCAGGATGTTTCCAGAGCCACAAGTACCCCTGGAGATCCCCTGAGGATGCTGCTGGGAAGTTGGAGTCCCAGCTTCCCCTCCTTCACCAGGAATTAGGAGATGCTTCCCTATCCCACAGCTGCTCTTTCCTGCTCACCAGAGGAACGGGAGGACCTCGGAGCCCTCGTGCCACCCCAGCCAGGAGGAAGGGGGAGCATCAGCCTGGATGTGACACCCCGTGACTGCAGAGGGAGACAGTTTTCCAGCCCACAGGAAGAAGGTTCGTGCCCCCAGAAGTGTTTTTTCCAACCGTGTCAGCTGCTGGCAGGGAAGATCCCACCCCTCCCTCCGACCCTGCCTTCCAAAGGTCAGGATTTGTCGTGCCAGAGGAGGAAGATGCTCCCGAGGAGAGTGTGGCACTTCCTTCCCAGCACCAGCTTCCAAACCCACAGGGATGGTTGTGCCAGCGACCAGGGATATCGTGTTAAAATAAAGCAACATTAGAATTCATTAAGATTATGAGTGTTTGCAGGAAAAGGGATCCCATTTTAACACTCCAAGGCCGGGCAAGGGCGAGTTTCCCTCTGCAGCTCCCTCGGGGGATGGTGGATGTCCGTGATCCCCCTGACCCAGCTCCAGGCAGGGCGGGATGTGGGATCCACACAAGCCATCCTGGGACTCCTGCATTGACTCTGCTCCCTTTTTAGGGACAAATGTTCTGTTTCAAAAGCCCCAGACAGTCAATCCGTGATTTCCCTGCGCTGATTCATCCTGATGGAAGCGGAGCCGCTCCCCCTGCACGGCCTGGGGGGGTCACAAAGGAAACCAGCCACATGTGACAAGTGCTCCTTTCCCCTCTGCACCCCGGGATGAGGCTGTGGGAGAGGCAGGATCCATCCCAGTGCCTTTCCCTTGGGCTCCTTCCTTCTCCCGTTGATGCTGAACCCTCCTGACAAAGTGGTTGCAGCTCCGGGGAGTCACTGCTGGGTGTGACAGGGAGGGGACAAGGGCTGGGACAGGGGACATGATCTGTGACAGGGAACAGCCTGGCAGGCGGTTTTGTTTTCCAGAGGAAGGGATTTTTGCTCTGTTTGTGCCACAGCCCCGAGCGGAGCAAACAGGACTCGTGGTAGGAGCAGCCCCCGGCTCTCAGCTGGACTGTGGGGCTGCTCTGGAATGGTGGCATCCTTGTGGTTCTTTAGAAAGGACAAACAATGGCTCTCCACGAGCCAAACGCCGCGTGATTCAATCAGGAACTTGCTGCTTTCCTCCCTCCCCGAGCACATCCCCCTGCTCCAGGATCCGGCGGCTCCTGGTCCAGCTGGATGGGAGCACAGCTGGAATTCCGAGGCAAAAAGGCACGAGGGGTTGGGGCTCCCGGGGCTGCTGTAACCTTTCCCTCTTGAAACCTTTCCCTCCTCTTGAAAGGCAGCCCGGTTTTCCAGAGGCAGGAGTCTAATGCGTTGTGGAGTGTGAAAACAGCGCCAGGGCTCGGAGCGATCCCGACACCGCCAGTAACAAACCAGTTCGAACCATTAACGGCAATTAGAGCCGGCGGCAGACGCTAATGAGGCTGAGCAGGGTGTGAAAGGGCCGTGACAGGCGAGAGGTAAAATCCTCAGGAATCCCCGGGGTGAGGGATCAGCGGCACCGGAGGTGCCGGGCTGCCACGGAGCCGGGCTCTGATCCCACATCCAGCTGGGAAAGCCCCGGGAGCTGCTCTCCCGCCGCCGGGGCCTTCGGGGGTTTAAATAACAGGGAGGGCGAGAGAGGGAAAGGAAAACGTGTCTGTGCAGATTTCCCACCCCCTCTGCTTTCCTCACACATCCATTCCCATCCCTGCTGCCGCCCTTATCCCACTCCATGGGGTAAGGACACGGGGCATCTCCATGGATAAATGTTCAGCCCCACTTTAGGAGCACCACAGAGTTTAGAAAGTTTGGAATGAGCAGTTTTCCCAAGCTCTGGGTGCTGGTACCAAATGCTCCAGTGGTCAGATAATTCATCGTGCCAGAGGGTGGGGAAAAGCTTCCCAAAATCCCTAGGAGAGGGGAAACACTGAGTTGCTCCAGCCTCTGGAAGCAGCTGGGGCTCAACCCTGTCTGTGCTTCCAAGATTTCCACAGGAACAGGCCCGAGCAGTCTCCCGGGCTGGGGACAACTGCCCAAGGATCATCCAAGGGGGAGCTGATGTCAGCTGAAGGGAATTATGGGATCAGGCTTTCCAGAAACACCAGGAAATCAGGACTGAGGGCTCTCGGATCGCTGGGAGGGGAAAACCAGCCCAGCAACTCTCGGGGTGCTGGTGAATCCAAGAGAGTACAGGAGTGGAGCTGCTTCATCCACCCCCCATCCCACCGATCCCTCCGCTCCCTGTCATCCCACAGCGGGATGCAGAGCGTCCCCGGGGTGAGCCCGAGGTGCACACGGTGTGGGGAGCTCTCCCAGGGCAGGCTGGGGGGGCAGGATGTGTTTTCCAGGCAGCAGGAAGCCCCTGGCCAGCCCGGCCCCGGCTGCTCGGACACAAGAGCCGCTTTCCTGTGCCGGGGCGGGAAGTCCATGGAAAATCCAGGAAAACCGGGCAGGTGGGAGCGGGGAGGAAACAGCCCTTCCGCTCCCATCCCACGGAGCAGGTCCTCAAGGAAAAGGCAGGGCTGGGGCTCCGGCCACCTCGGCGGGATCTCGGTTCCTTCCGGCTTCCCGCGCCGGGATCCTCCCTGCGGCAGCTTCCTCTGGGCAGGGACTGCTTCCTGCCCCTGCTCCGGGCTCCTTCTGCCTCTCCCCAGCCCCTCGGGATGCTCCTGCTCCACATCCAGGATGGGATGAGGGAGAGGGA